TGACCTAGATACTTGCCCATACTATCCCACACACCCTGCCGCTCATGGCTGTCCAGCCTCTGGGAAAATCTCTCGGTCCTCCTACATCGTCGTTTGACCCCAGACAAGACCCAAACCTGAATCTGCTTAACTCTTGAAATCAGTAGTGGGCAAAACACACTCTGTATGCGTGTTAGCATGGTGATTCCCATCACCATCAGCAAACAAGTCTCAACAGCATTTAAAGGCCATTCAAAAAATTCAAAACTCTCAAATGTAAATGGTCTGGGGGGACGACTAGGAGGGTAAAAGGATGTCTCCTTCACAGGTTGAGCACCTGAGGAGGAGAAAAAAGATGTGTAATTGCTAAGCACCTCCATCATATACCTCCCAAAGTATAAAGGTGGTGACCACACTGGGAACATAAGCCAGATCAGTTTCATGATCAATGATTCTATTGTATTACAAGTCATTACCATAAAGTACAATGGGATAAAAACCTTAGCCCAAGCCCCACACTTGAAAAACACTAATACAGCCAATACCGGATGGAGGTAAGATATGATATACTGAAACTGTGAGATCAAGAGGAAAAACCTTGAGAGCCAATAAATCAGCATTGTGACGAGTGACTATCAATCCAGTCAGATCTGTTCTTATCTCAACCCCTTGTGCCCCACGTTGGGCGCCAAAAGAACTGTCGTGGTTTAAACCCAGTCAGGTAACTTGTTCACTCACTCCCAGTGAGTGGTGCCGAGCTGACAACAATCGAGGTCCGTGTCCGTCTCCCCCCCCCCCCCCGCACCGGGGCTCTCCCCTTCCCCGCTCCCGGAGGAACGGGGAGGAGGATCGAGAGAGTGCAACTCTTACGGGTTGAGACAAGAACAGTCCAGCAACAAATCACCACCGCTACTATCAGCTAAAACAATGATAAGGGAAAATAACAAGAGAAGAGAATACGATACCACCGGCCAAGAAAGCGAGTTCCACCCAGAAGCCCCTGTCCTTCCGGGTAACTCCCAGTTACCCCCCACCCCGGGCATGACGTGCTGTGGTATGGAATACCTCCCCGGCTAGCCCGGGTCAGGCGCCCCGTCTCTGCTTCCTCACAGCCTCCCCTCCTCCCTGGCAGAGCATGAGCCTCACAGAGTCCTTGGTCAGGGTAAACATCACTTAGCAACAACCGAAAACATCGGCTTCACCAACACTGTTCTCAAACTAGAAGTCAAAACACAGCACTGCACCAGTTAACACAAAGGAAAAAACATGACTGCTACTGCTGAACCCAGGACAGCAGTGAATGGAGGAAGCTGGTGACCAGGAGGGTGTTTCCTTGTTGCTGTTATTGAGCAGGACTCATTGCAGCACTGAGGTCTCTGTGAAGGTGTATTGAGGTGATTACTCTGTAATTTCTCTCTCATTTATAAGGTATCTGACACTGATTTGGCATGTAACACCTGCCTAGATGAAGGTGGGTGAGATGAAGCCCAACCTCATTCATCACCAATGGTCAATGTGCACAAACAGCTCCTCCGGACACCTTGATTCATCCTGTTCATCACATTGCTCTGTTCAGTCACTACAGAGACAGCATGGACTACCCTTGGCATGGGTTTCCAGGTTGCCAAGGTTCAGAGGTGAACTCAAAAGAAGAGCCAGAAACTCTCTTCTTCTGGAGTGTCTCTGAAATCCAGTGCCTACCGGGATGGGTGAGAATGGAATAGACCCAAAGGACCACAGGACATCATAGAATCAGTTAATAACTCAATCACACAAGTCTCCACTGTACTTTCTCATGATAAGGCTTGTGGCACTCTTAAATAAAGCTTTCCCACCCAAAACTTGGTTCCTACAAGTGAAATTTCAGGTCAAGCTGAAGGTGTTTGGTCCTTTGAAATCTCACAGTGCTGGTGCTAATTTACCTGGAAGCCTTTGGGCAATTTGAGCCTTGTCTTTGCTGTTCTTTTGCAGACGGTGTGCAAATGTAAAGAACTTAATCACAAGTTGGGTCAATATCGATTGTTTCAGCAGTGATTGAATCATCAGTGTTGGATTTCCCAGCTCTTAAAGCTGAAGGGCTCTCTGTCAAAGAAGCAAACCCAGGTAAAAAATACAAGTAAACAACTTTAAAGTTGGGATAAACCATGTTCGTGCTAAAGTAACTCTTTCAGCAAGTGGGTATTTCCTCCCAACCATAAGAACCAGGCACCTTTATGTGTAATTCACTCTGTTGTAACTCCAGTCTCTAAAGCAAATCGCATGAATCAGAGCCCAGAAATGCCTGTTTGTGTCCCAGCAATGGAAATCTGTGTTCATGCTTGTATTTATATGAATATCTAGGATTATGAGATGAAACCTGGCATCCAGAGTAGTTTGGGCTGGAAGGGAGCTTAAAGCTCATCGAGCTCCAACCCCTGCCACGGGCAGGGACCCCTTCCACTGGAGCAGCTTGCTTCAAGCCCCTGTGTCCAACCTGGCCTTGAACACTGCCAGGGATGGGGCAGCCACAGCTTCTCTGGGCACCCTGTGCCAGTGCCTCAGCACCCTCAAAGGGAAGAGCTTGTGCCTAAGAGCTCATCTCAGTCTCCCCTCTGGCAGGTTCAAGCCGTTCCCCTTGGCCTGTCCCTACAGCCCTTGATCCAAAGCCCCTCTCCAAGGAGAAGGATCCATGCAGGAAGACCAGCTTTATTTCAATTTGGTTTGGTTTAGTTTAGTTTTCAGTTTAGTTTTTATTTATTTTACTATTTCATATTATTTTATTTTAATTTCTTATTCTAGTCTATTCTTTAATTTAGGTAAGTTAATTTATTTTAATATACATTTTTGTTTGCTTTTTATGTTTAGTTTTGAAGTTTTAATTTATTTTTATAATTTTTAATTCTTATTAATCTTATTTTTTTAGTTCATTTTTTAATTTAACTTTATTTTTTATTTTATTTTCATATTCCTCTGTCATCCTTCTATGCACCCCCCCCATGCACACACATATATGTATGACAGAGTAATATAATAATAATTGCACTTCTCCCAAAGGAAGTTCTGCAAAACACCTCTCAGCCAAAGCACCTCGGAGGTCTCAGTGGATTAGAGATAAGGGTTATAAAGCAGTTACACCAGCAGGGGGGACAGACAGAGCATATAAGTGAACTCGTCATCTGTCGTAACTTAATGTGAAGCAAGGAAGAAGAACCAAGCTGTCACTGGTAAGGACAGGGGGACATCAGGATTTGTTTTATCGCTGGAGTTAGAAGGTAGTTTATAATTTTAAGGGGCTATATAGTATCATAGAATCCCGGAATTGCTTGTGTTGGAAGGGTGCTTAAAGCTCATCCAGTTCTAACCCCTGCCAAGAGCAGGGACACCTTCCACTGGAGCAGCTTGCTCCAAGCCCCTGTGTCCAACCTGGCCCTGAACACTGCCAGGGATGGGGCAGCCACAGCTTCTCTGGGCACCCTGTGCCAGTGTCTCCTTGTGCAATACAATACATAATTCCTTGCAGGAAGCAGGAGGGCAGGAGAATGGTTTCATCCTTTAGAGATGAGGTCTGTAGAGAGGAATTTGATTGTTTTGGGTTGTATCTTTATTAGACATACCATAAGGAGCTGTTTATTTCATGGCAGAGCAAGAGAACAACAGAAGAAGGAAGATCACAGAGCACGTGGATTTTGTGAAGGGTGTTGTACCAGTTATAATGGTTTGGTTATTTTTTAATAGTAGCAAATAGCAGCTAAAATACCAGTTATAATAAATACTTTATCACTGCAGTGCTGGGGATGCCACCCTCATTAATTCTGTCATGCTGCAGGTTGTACATAGAGCTAAACCCCATGTGCTTCTTCCATAGGGATAAATGGTTTATCTGATTTTCCTTTCTGAATATAAGCCAGGCTCTTTGATACCAGTTTTACAGTGACTGCTGATAGGAAAGCTGTGCTCATTGCACTGCAGAGATTTGCTGACAGTGACGCACACCCCATGAGCAGCACAGTGCTTTCCATGATCTTAGGCTAATATTGATCTGCTATTCCCAGCAGTTTTCCTCTCTCTTTTCTTGGTCTCTTCCAAGTGTTTATGTTACAGTGGTTCCTTGTGGACCCCTGTGGAGGCTGCTCCATATCCCTCCCTGATGCTGTGATTAAAAGGCAGGATGCCATGGTGTATTTTCATAGAACTCTTAAATATGGATTTTAGAAAGAGGAGGTGTAGGAAAAGTTGATAAAAAGGAAAAGATTTGTTGTGCCATTTTTTGGTTTTAATGGTTTTCTCCCTCATGATGGCACTTCACCATTTCTATATACCCAATAGAAGAATAACCCTGAAATAGCAAAACAGATGAAAAGTTACTGAAGAATAAATGGGGTTTTCCTGTTTTATCTCTGCAGTGTGCAAGCAAAATCACCTTTAAGGAAAACCTCTACGGGGAAGGCTCCCTAAGATGCCAAATGTTCTATTCTACTTCAAAGGTTGGATTTGATGATCTGAAAGGTCTTTTCCAACCCAGTTGATTCTATGATTCTAAGTCCTAGAATTACAGAATCACAGACTGGTTTGGGTTGGAAAGCACCTGAAGTTCAGCTAGTTCCAACCTCTCAGGCTTGGGCAGGGACATCTCACACTAGACCGTGTCACCTCTAAAAAGACATGGTCTAGTGTGAAATTTTCATTATTGATGTCACTAATTCATTACAGGAAGCACTGAACCCCTTCTTTTACACTTTCTTTGTCAGAACTTGGGAGGGTTACCCTGGAATGTGATATTTACCATGAGTATACATCAGGGAGATGTATATTAGAATGAATGGAATAGGGAACACTTGGTAGAGTGACTGCTACCAGAATAAAACATTCATTGCTTTGCTAACTGTTTTTTGATGGATGTTGATGCAAATGAAGCAGATCTCTGATAAGGAGAGGGTTTGCCATCCAGACCTTGGGGATCGATGGGCTTTTTAGGTGCTGAGTGTCTTCATTAACTGTTTATTATGGCACTGTGAATACATCTTGCAGTGCTTTAGGAGAAGATGGCTGAGAAAAATCAAAGCAAGCAAGTGACGGAGCTGACTCTTGTGGGACTGACGGACAACCCCCAACTACAAGCACCTTTGTTCATCCTCTTCCTCCTCATTTACTTCATCACGCTGGTGGGGAACCTGGGCATGGTTGTGCTCATCAGGAGCAGCGCTCAGCTGCAGTCCCCCATGTACTTTTTCCTTAGCAACTTATCTCTCCTCGATGCTTGCTACTCATCAGTGGTGGCACTGAGGACGTTAATGAACTTTCTGATGGAGAAGCAAACAATCTCTGTCATCGGCTGCGCAACCCAGCTTTACTTCTTCATAGCCTTTGGCATCACCGAGTGCTTCCTCCTGGCTGCGATGGCGTACGACCGCTACATGGCCATCTGCAAGCCCTTGCTGTACTTGTCCATCATGTCCCACCAGCTCTGCATGCTGCTGGTGGCCAGTTCCTATGTGCTTGGCCTGCTGCATTCCTGGGTGCACACAGAGTTCGCCTTCAGCCTGCCTTTATGCCAGCCAGCCAAGGTCAAACACTTCTACTGTGACCTCATGCCTGTTCTAGCTCTCTCCTGCTCCGACACACGTGTCAATAGGTGTCTGATATTTGTCCTTGGTGGGCTGGTGGAGATGGTGACCATCTTGGCCATCCTGGTCTCCTATGCCTTCATCCTCGCTGCTGTCTCAAGGATCAGCTCTGCTCGGGGCCGGTACAAAGCCTTCTCCACGTGCACCTCTCACCTGGCTGGAGTCACCATCTTCCACGGGTCCATCCTCGCCCTGAACTTCCGACCAGGGTCTGGCAGCAGCCTGAGCACGGATAAGGTCTTTGCTGTGTTCTACTCGCTGGTGGTGCCCATGCTGAACCCCCTGATCTACAGCCTCAGGAACAGGGAAGTGAAGAATGCCCTGAGGGACTTTGTCAGGTGGAAGTAGCTTTGGCACGATGTTTAGCTGCTGGTTTTGTGACAAAGGTCTCCAGAGCTTCAGTTGACACCAAGGACTTTTGTTTCGCCACCCTATTCCTTCACCTTAAAGATCTGGTTTGGAACCATTTCCAAGTCTGTCTTTCTTCCTATGACTGGCTTGTGCACAACACCACAATCTAATTTATCTGCTCTATTTTATTGCCTTTATTTCCCCCCTCTCTTTTTTTGTCTTATCAGATGGGCACTGAACATTAGTTCTGGGCTCCTTGATAGCCCTGTGAAAATGCTCTTCCATGGCCATCAGCATCTCCCAGTTGATGGCTTAAAACCTGCCTTACAACCTCTTCTCATTTTCAGGGTCTTTCTCCCCTATCATTAAAGGGCAACGAATTTTTTTCTGTACAAGTGCAGGAAATGAACTCAAAATAATGAATGAAGTACATTTATTTTAAGAGAAAAACTGGCATTAACCTCACCTAATTAGGCACTGCTCTGAGATCTCTATCTTCTCTATTATCTATGGATAAAGCTAGATATGGTATCTAAAGATGAGATTTGTTAACTAATTGTTAGGTAGATAAGGCTGTTGAATAATATCGTCTTTTATGCTCATTTCAATGTAGTCCAGGTTTTGAATCATCTCCAGAGAATCCAATATTCTCCTCCAAAATATTCAGGCTGGTCTAACAGCACCTGCAGAACAGGGTAAAGAGGCCCATGTCCAGCTCTTCCTGCCAAAAGGTGATTTCTTTTTGAGGTATCAGAAGTACTTAATGAGAGGACCTCTGTCATGTGTTTGATGTGAGAAGTTTGTGTCTACAGCCAGGGCTTTCTGCTTTTTGTAGATCCCTTCTCTGCAAAGATTGAAGCAGAATCATGCAATGAAGCTCTCAGTATAAAATGTATTTCCAGACCCTCAAGCCTGTTTCTTATATTGCTGGAATTCACAATTGTGCCTCCCCTGCACGTTAGACTGAGGTTCCTATTGCCAGTTCACTGAGTCGGATCCACCACACACAGGACTATGGCATTCAAGACTTCCCTTGGAAAGGTAGCACCAAGTGTGGGTAAACCTTTGACCATTCCAGTTGTCTCTGCTTTGGAAACTTTCTTAAACCCAAGAGGAAATAAGGACACCAGAGTGGGGTAATTCATCAGACAGGGATGAGCCCTCCACATGACACTGCTCATCTAGATTCCTGTTTCCACAAAAGCTCAGATCAGATAATATTTTGAGGTCCAGCCTGGGCTTTCTGTGGCTCTATGATTCTATATGTATAGTCTAAGCCAAAATATCCAACAAAATGGAAGAAAACAAGGTGTGTTGAAGGTTTTGAAGAAAGCTGTCCGATATAAAAGGTCTCTGTCCTGCCAACACGTTCCCCCACATGTAAGACGTGTTCTCTTAATAATGTTGTTTTTCAGTGCACATAAGCAGTGTGTTCATTATAAACATACTTTCCAAATATAAGTTAATTCCTACTCACATCAGCAAAAGAACTTTTCCCCCATCAGTGTGTTTTGGCTTCTTTGAGACCCGGATAGCTCTCAATTACCATTGATTCTGTGTTCAGGATTGTCTTTCATCAACAGAAACTTCCCACAGGCTTAATTCTTATGTGAAATCCACTGTTTGGTGCTTCCCAGTGCTCTTGAGCATGAGCTGGGCATGGATATGGGATGTGGGTGCCGATCTCAAGCTGGAATTCCATTTCTCTCACCATTTAGGTAAAAGGTCATGTCAAATGAGTATAAAATACCCCTCAAAATGAATGGGAGGAGACCTGATGTGCCCAAATTTTCCTTTACACTGGGTGGTCTCAGCACAGTTCATCATCCTGTGTTATGAATGATACTGTCTACAATTTTTTCCTTTATGTATAATCTATTGTAAAGCTGCAGCCTGGGGAGGGATTTGCCCTGATATTCAAAAGTGCAACTTGAGAGCTTGATTCCCACCAACTTCTTCTCTTTGAAAGGCACAAACAAATGCTACGAATCTTTTGAAACCTTTTCTCCGACTCTTTTTCAGCAAGGAAATGTAAAACTACACTTGCTCTTCCCTCCCACCCCAGCAGCTTTAATAAAGAGCTCACAGGTAAGAGTGAGGAATTTTATTGGAGCAGAGAACAAGGTCAACAATCTTGTAAGAAAAATAGATAATTACGAGTGACAAAAGTTATAAATGAATAAAGCTGATTGGTGTTTCCTGTGAGGAAAAGGAGCCTGGGATAATTGAGGGTAATTTCTCCCTACAGACTGGTGCCTACAAACTGAATTGAAGTTTGAGGTTCCTTCTCCTCTTGATATCCTTCCAAGGAGCATGTGATGGCTGGGTCTCTTTCTCATTACATACTGTCATTGACTTCTGTGCAGGATCTGTGGAAGAACATAAATAAAGTCATGTGGATTAGTGAAAATCTCATTGTTTTAGTGCATCGCAGTCTTCCTCAGTTAAGATGAACTGTTCATGTCCTGGATGACAGAGCTCTTTTGTGTAGCCAGTGGTTGAAGAACCTCCTTGTGCACTTGACCAGAGCCGCCTTCACGTCCTTGTTCCTCAGGCTGCAGATGAATGGGTTGAGCATGGGGGTGATCATGGTGTAGAAGATGGAGGCCACCTTATCCAGGCTCCTGTGGCTAGATAGCGGTTGTAGGTACATGAAAAACATTGTACCATAGAATAAGTCAACAACCATCTAATGGGATGCGCAGGTGTGGAAGGCTCTGGCCCTGTTCTGTGCTGAGCACATCCTTTATGTGTAATCCTTTGATGAAGACCTGCTGAGCTGGTGACTCTGGGCTTCCACTGTATTCAAGGATGAGAAATGGGCATTTTGAGGCAATGATCAATTATCCCAGGGTGAAGTAACAGGCCTTTATCCCCCTGAGCAGCCTCAGCTGCGGCTCCATCCCCACCCTCTGCCCATTTGTCCCCCTTCTCTATTTAATCTCAGCCCAGGGAGGTTGAACTTCATAAGAGGAGTTCCAGTTCCCAGTTTGGCAGGAGGTGTGCACACCTGTGGAATCCTTTGATGAAGACCTAGGTTTGCTCATAGACTTCCCTAGAAATTGCTGGACCTGACCGTGGTTCAGGGCCTGATTTGATCTGACTTGGCCTGCTCTCGTACCTATCTTGTCATCACCAACTTGCCTGATGATTTGGAGTCTTGGCTGAACTTGGCCCAGGTCTCTGTTCCTGCCCTGCTTCTCTTGCTCAGGTACTGTGGGGTGGTCCCTGCACCCCATGGTGTTCCCCTTTGGCTCTGTTTCAAGAGATTAAAGAGAGAAACCCCTGTGGTACTGGCCAGGTTTCTGCAAACCATCCTTGGGTGGCATGGTTTAGCGTGAGGTGTCCCTCCCCATGGTAAGGGGGTTGGAACTGGATGATCTTAAGGTCCTTTCCAACCCTGACTATTCTATGATTCTATGAAATTAGAACCTTTCTCTGGCTGCATCCAAAAGCCCAGCCAGGGCTCGCTACTCTGGCACACGCTCTCCATTCAGACCATGTCCCTGCATGGGCAAATTAGGAGATAGTCTTCTCAGTGAGGAAAATAGAGTAATCAACTGAGCATTCCATTCAGTGTTATTCTCTGGTCATTAGTATCTCCTCCACTTCAAAATATATTAGAATTATGGTCTTTAGTAGATAGGCAGCACTTTTATTTGGAAATGTGTTTCAAGTCTTAGTAAAGACTCTTTAATCTTTCCAGCTTCAATGTTTCTTTGCTTTGAAGATGCTGAGGTGCCATCTCTAAGAAATGCTCTTTCTCAGTAACTTCAGGACAGTTTCCGATCTTGTTCTATTCTGTCTCCCAGAAGACAACTCATCTCAAAGGTTGAGGAATTAACAGCTGCAGATTTTTAACTTACGAAATCACTAAGGAAATTTTTCAGCTAAAGCTGAAGGGGAGAGAAAACAAGATTGCCAAAGGTGATGTGCCCAGTGAGGCTGCTGGCATCGTATCCCAACCATCTAAGATAGAAAGTAATAACAGGTAAAGACAGGAGTCTCTGGTAGATGCAGCCAAACATTGACACCCAACACCCTATAGAACTGAACAGAGAAAAAAAAGGAGACTTGGAGGATTTACTTCTCTGAAGCTCTGATTTATAAAGCAAGCCAGGAGGTGAGAAAATCATTTTTTTCTCAAGATAGAGATGATTCTGTGCAGTACAGTCATGCAGATCCATACATTGAGTCCAAGTGGAATTGTCATGGGAAATGTCATGGGAATTCTAAATACAAGTGGCTCTGTCAGCTTCCTTTGATCTCGCTGCCTCCCCAAAGGGCCCGTATGCTTGTGCAAAGGAAACCGAAGGTAGTAGTAAAAAGATTAGAAAGTAAGAAATCACTTTCTTGGGGAAAAATAGAAACAACGACAGTATGAATTTATAAAATGAGCTTAAATACTGGAGTCCAGTGGGAAAATCAGTGGGAAAATCTCCTATACAGTTATATCCAGTGTAGATGCCAGGTATGTTTTCCCCAAGGCTGATCAAAAGCCAGCATATACCCCATAGCCAAACACTGCAGCAGGCTTCCAATAAATCCCTCTTGCTGAAGGATCACTGCTACCACCATCCATTTGGACAGTACCCTCCCAGTCAGCTCTCTTTAGGAAATATCTAAAAGGGTGCTCAGGCATTGGAATAGGCTGCCCGGGGCAGAGCTGGGCTCACCATTCCTACAAGTGTCCTAAACCGTGTAGACAAGGCCCTTAGTACCATGGGTTAGTGGTGGCCTTGGCAGTGCTGGGGAATGGCTGGACTGGATGATCTTAAAGGTCTTTTCCAACCTAAACAATTCTGTGATTCTCTAAGTCTATCTGTGTCACTTTATTTGTAATACCAGTTTTATACGTTTTATTTGTATTCCTCTGTCACACATATATATATTTACACACATAAACACATATTACACATATTGGAGCTGAGGGACAAGGTCAAGAATCTTGCAAAAAAAAAGTGGATATTTATCAGTGACAAAAGTGAGAATTGAATAAAGCTGATGGGTGTTTCCTGTGAGGAAAAAGAAGCCTGGTATAATTCAAGGTAATCTCTTCCTACACGCTGGTGGCTGAGAAGTGAAATGAAGTTTGAGGTTCCTGCTCCTCTTGGTTTCCTTCCAAGGAAGATGCGATGGGGGTTCTAGTTCTCATTAAATACTCTGACTATTGTGCAGGAACTGTGAAAGAGCTACACAGAGTCATGAGGATTAGTGGAAAATCCCATTAGTTTAGGCGTTCTCACTTGATGTAGAGTATTCATGTCCTGCATGATACAAGTCTTGCTTGTTGCCAGTGGTTGAACATCCTCCTCCCACACTTCAGCAGAGCCCCGTTCACCTCCTTGTTCCTCAGGCTGTAGGTGAATGGGTTGAGCATTGGGGTGACCACTGTGTAGAAGACGGAGGCCACCTTATCCAGGCTCCTATGGCTAGAAGAAGGTTGTAGGTACATGAAGAATCCTGTCCCAAAGAATATAGAAACAGCCATCAAATGGGAGGCGCAGGTGTGGAAGGCTCTGGCCCTGCTCTGTGCTGAGCACATCCTCAGCACGGTGCGGATGATAGACATGTAGGAGAGTAAAATGACCACGCTTGTGCCCACTAAGTTGATGGTGACGAAGGCAAAGATGAGCATCTTGCTGCTGTGGGTGTCGGAGCACAGGAGCTTCAGCACAGGAACTTTGTCACAGAAGAAGTGGTCGATGCGGTTGGGACCATGGAAGGAACCTCCAAACACGCACCATGTGTAGACAATGGCACTGAGGAAGGCGAATAGGTAGGATGATACTACCAGCTGCCAGCAGACATGGCTGGAGATGATGGTCACATAAAGCAGGGGCTGGCAGATAGCAACATGGCAATCATAGGCCATCATGGCCAGGAGGTGACACTCAATAGCAGCAAAGAAACCAAAGGTGAGGAACTGCGTCATGCAGCCAGTGAAAGAAATGGTTTTGTCCTCTGATAACAGGTCTGCCAGCATCCTGGGGCAGAAGACTGTGGAATAGCAGATGTCAGTGAAGGCAAAATGGGTGAGGAAGAAGTACATGGGGGTGTGGAGGCTGGGAGACCCGCACCAAGATGATAATGCCAAAGTTCCCCACCAAAGTGACAATGTAAATCAATAGAAACAAGACTAAAAGAGGGGTCTGTGCATATGGGCTGTCTGTAATTCCCAACAGGATGAGTTTAGTCTGCGTGTGATTTCCTCTCATGACCAGGTGTTACCTACCAAGGCAAAAGGAAGAGAAAACATCAAAATCATTGCAAACAGAAATTCACTTTTGGACCACATTTAACTACAATCGATCACCAGTTTAACTGCCATGTTTTGGTGGAATTAATATTTTGTATTGTATTTTTTAAACCCAAATTATATGATTTTGGTTTTCATTTGAGGTATTTGGAAAAGAACAGAGAGTGTGATGAAGCAAAAACAGCCATTTTTGTTCTTCTATGCTGAGAAACATAAACTATGGATTTATTCAAGCACCTGATTTTTCAGGTTTGAGTGAAGAATCAGATCTTTACTCACTTTCAGATTGGAGGCAGTTTGTGTCAGAAGACAGCTTAGAGGAACCTCATAGGAGCACACATAAACCTTGAGCAAGAGAAAGTCACATTCCCATTGAAATGGTAGCTTACACATTAATGACCTCCAGAATTTTCCTTTGGTTTTTAGTTCTAATGCCAGTCTTAAGATTGCATTTATCAAAGTGTTATACATAATTCAAAAAGGATAACATTCACATTGCTAAAGTCATGATTTATACCTTTCTGAGTTCCAGCATGCTGAAGCACCTTCACACCTATGGGCATTATGTTGCTTGACCTAAAAAAGAGTTGATGTTATAAGAGGCTGAATCCAAAGGCTGATTTGTTAGTGACCATATTCTGTTGACAATCTGAAATGCTGCATTTCTTTATAACAGAATAAGATTCTTTTGAATAAATCAGTTCATCTTGCTTTAGCTGCCGATGTAAAAGAAACACAACCTGCATCAGACATTGCTCCCTCTTCTTATAAAGAAAACCCACATTGGTAAGGCTGTTTTCTGACACAGCTTTACCAAAGAGGACGAGAGAACATGAAGAAGCAAACCCACTACCTCACTGCAGGTGAGGCTCTGCTTTGTGTTGGTGTTACCTCCTGTGCCTTCCCTCTGCCACCGAGTGATGGGAGCCAAGGATTTATCCCCAACGCAGCAGAGAACATCTACGTACCGGCATCAGCTCTGTTAAGCACCTGATGTGAAGAGAAGGGAGCTCGTGCCAGACTCCAAGAGCCCAGCTTGTGGTGCTGGGGCTGTAAATACAGTTGCATGTGCTCTCCTGGGAGGAAGCCTCCAGGGCTGCTCATGCTTTCCCAGAGGAAAACAAAGAGAAGGAAAAGCAAAGGGTGTGAAATCACCTCTGAAAGGCATTGTGGTGCTTGGGCATCTGAGAGTCATGAAGGGATGCTTCTGACATACTTGTGTATTATGCCAAGCATTCTATCTCTCTTTGCCAAAAGAATGAGGATGGGTTTAGAGACAT